CAAAATCGATAGGGGTCATGTGGGTGTGTTGTGAGGGGGCGCCATCCGTATGATAGTTGCATTGATGCTTACTGCTACTTGCGGTAATGCGTCTTGTGATGGATCTGCGGGTGTGCTGCGCCTGATTCGACGCACTCTTGTGGTTCTGGTCGATGGAGGTATGCGGGTGGTGATGTCTGCTGGGATGTATGGGGGACCTTGGGATGGTGTAAGCCCGACGATATTCGTATTGATGCTTGATGCGTTCTGCAGCGTTGCGTCTTTGCGATGGTTGTTTGGTGGGACGCTATTCTCAATGGCGCTCTCTGCGTCTTGGTTTGACTCACGCCTGAGTAGCTTTGCCCAAGTCGGGTCCCTTCATTACGGGGCTGCAGACTGTCTGCCCTCCACGATGTTTTATATAACAACATAATATTATATCTCTGTAACTTTCCCACCTTTGAATGATTGAAGGCAACTTGTTGGTGGGTGAGACAAACATGATCGAAAATGCATTTACTCAACGTCAGTGACACAAACCCTTTCTAATGGCGAATTATTACTCTTATCTTATAACTGCCTTTTGGCTATATCTGCCGTTGTATTGGTTGGTGGAGCATATGTGTCGACCTCATGCGGGTGGTAGCTGGCGGGAGGATCTGAGGAGACTCTCAAGGCTGCGGCCGAAAGCCGCACAACGTGGGACCCCATTCCCTTGAGGTGAGCGGTAGACTCATGACACGCTCTGCGGCTAGTAGCCGTACTGATCATGCAATTGGTGGTGATGCCATACACTTACATCACGTCTGCAGGAGCGGCGGTCTGGCAGGTGGTGGCGCTCACGGAGGGTTTACGGCCAGTGTGCCTATTTGCCTAAACTGTGTGACGTACATTCACTGTGGCTGGATTCGGTCGATGTTTGTGCTTACGCACTAGCAAGGGGCCAAGCCTCTTTTAGTGGTTCGCCGGTTATTTTGCTGTGGACTACGGGTCCAGTTCCCGAATTAGCGTCCCCAACGGGGGGAGTGCATCAAAATGGTTGGCGCTCACCGTGCACGGCGTGTGTGGGGCCGTGTGCCTCCATTACATTTTTTAATAAATGTAGGAGAGCGAAGCCCTTGTATCGGGTATTTTGTATAAATATATTTTGAGCCTTTTCCGAGCGGGAAGGGATAAATAATATTAAGTTAATAATGTAAACCTGATACAAGTGGAATTGGGACGTTTTATGTTTTTAACCTTTCTCGAGCCCTGTCTTCGTGAACGGGGTTCACTTAGCTTATAAGGCACTACCAACAGCTTTCAATTGCTCTATTGAATATTCATTCTTCCAAAAGACACCTAAAAGAACTAAGTTACTAAACAAACACAACGTAAATAAGGGCCCTAACTAAGACGATCACGCCAAAATATTACAAACGGCCTATTATTAAACCTTTAGAAAGATCATTTAGAAAGACCAAAACATATTTTATTTATCCTAGTCACATATATATAATTTTTATTATAAAGGAGAATTAATTATATTTAATCTAGTATATTTATTCCTATGAGAGGGGGGGAAGCGTTACACTGGGTACGCACCTAGCTAAGCGTACAACGATATTTGAACTCGCTCCCTAGTCTGGAATTCATACTGAAGAAATTCGTAAGCAAAGCCACGATCTTCGCAAAGAACCAGCAGTTTATATACCTCCATTTATGCTTATTTGGGATCTATTGACCCAGAATATTGGAAGCTTTTGTCGTGCACATTTTCTTGTTAACAGATAGTTCCTCTCTTTTAAGGATACTTAGACATTTTTTTGTCAAATTTTCCAATATTGGCCTCATTATTTGTAAACTGTCATGTCATGTATCTTAGGATGGTTACGTGGAGTTATTATTTAAATACAGATTTTTTAAATGATTTAGAAATATTGTTTCCTTTATGAGAGGAATACCAAGTTCAGGTGCGCAATCCATTCGAATATTTTGGAATGGTGATAAGGTTATAATCAGACAGACACCTAAAAACTTCTTCAATTCAATAACTGAAATATTGAATCGTTTTGAGGATTTTTTTGAATACTAAATTTGTGCATTTATTCTACGATATGCCCCAGCAGTTCGTCATAAAAAAACCATACAATTATTAAACAGGAGTTTTAAATTCTATATATGCATACTGTAAGTTTTCGTTACTATTAAACTGGGAATGTGGTGATTGAAAAGATTTTTTTCCAAATAAACTTCCTTTTCTTACTTTTGATGACAGACGTAGAGCCATGTTGTCTTGTTCTGTTAGTAAAAGCAATACTTACGAAAGTAGTACACGTCTGGTTTCACGTGATTATCTATTGTCACCTGAAGTTCTCACTGAAGTGACATCTGAAGTACTAGGTTGGAGGCTTGTTATTTGCTGCTTGCTCGATAAATGAACATCTTCGTATAGCGGGAGACAAACGGAGATATCTCTGCGCGGTGTTTACATATCAGTAAGAAATTCAGAGAAAAAACTCGCGATTGTCATAAACTTGTTCTATGTCTTCAACACTTCCACCTTCAGAGAATTCTTCACCATTTTCTGTCCCTGTTGGTATACCCTAGAAATATTCGATATCTACGTTATGCAATCGTTTGTTCGACATAATCTGTAATAAACAAAAGTATTCGTAAGTACAGTTTTCGTAAGTACGTATTCGTACAAAGGAAGGCTCAACGTACTGTATGTCGAACATACACAAAAATACGATTTATCAATAGACTAGCTTTTTACCGGCGGCTACGCGTGGGCTTCAATTTAGGTCATTACTATTACTCCTAGCCAAATTAGAACAACTGGATCATTTTTAGAGACACCTCGTTAACTGTGTCTATATTTGACGTAGGAAATGATTGAAATTTGGCAATATTTAATGCTACAGAAATAAATAAGTAAGTTTATCAGAATAGCATTAATGTCATACGCCTAGCAACAACCTTTTCTATCGGGCACATTTTCCGATGTGTCTTTATGAAGAAAAAATTGCCCTGGAATCAGAAATGCGTTATTTATATAATATTCATAATTAAATTTGATATAGTTTTGACAAAATAATGTTAAAATTTACGGTCTTTATTAACATTTGCCCCATCTAATATTGATTAGCACCATAAAATATATGCCTGTATTTTTTACGTTCGAGCAGACTTCAAAATGTCATAAATATAATTCTGTTCACGGTAAACGTGTGAGAAGAACTAAAATAAACGGGAGTAGAAATATACAGAATATCGGCAGCAGTGTCCTCCTGATCAAGAGCTCAAAATAATAAAAATATGCAGTTGGCAACTTGCATTCCTAGGGTGGCAACTACGGCAAATATCCAACTTATTTGGCAATATGTTGGGAGAATCCAATTGATGAACGGAAGTAGAAATATACTAGCCATGTAGAGGCGGCGAAACAGAAACCACTACCCCATTTCGTCCCGTGGGTGTTATAAGAGGTGACAAATGGAAACTAAAACAGGTAATGGTCAGCATCTTTTTGCATATACACACGTAACAATAATAATACATAACAACATGAAGTAATAAAATGCTTAGGTTCCCGTTCTTGACCCGCTTGTCAAGTGTGAATGCCACTGCAAATATCCGGTCTATTTGGCAAACAATGTGGGAAGCCTATTATTAGCAGTAGATAGCCCTATTAAAAATAAAAAGTAGTTGACTTGATCAGCGAGGTTTAGGACAAAACTCGCTGTGATTTAGTTGACTCCAACGCGGGACGACCGACTTCACATACCTATACCTAAAAATGATTTCTGAGATTTTTTTAACTTCTCAGATATGCAGGTTTCCTTGTTTTTCTTCAACACTGAGAAAATTCGGTTATTAATTTTGCGGTGTGAAACCCGAATAATAGACTATTTTACAGTAATACTGGGGCCACACTAACGAGAAATGCCGTTAATTACCGTGTTGATGAACGTTGAATGTAGGTGTAGCCACGACTAAACGAGTTAATTTGACAACGGTATTAACAATGTTTTGTCTCACTGTGTATGGCTAGGATGGAGTGGAATACTGAAAAAGTTATTATGTTTTTTGAGATTCTGCAAATAAAGACATGTTTGTGGGATCCGAGACCCAAAAGTTTTAAGAACCGTACATCGAAAAATGATGCTTGGCGACGAACTATGCCATTGTTGCTTTTTAAATCTACTATCGAAGAAATTAAAAAGGAGAAAGGAAGCTAAAAATCGTTATTATAGAACCCATTTAAACAAATGTAATAAGTCTTTGAAGCCGAGAGCTGGCAAAAATGACGTATATACAACTAAATGGTTCGCATTCGAAACGCTGAATAGTTTCCTACGAGGGGTATATGAATGTAATCACACATTTAATCACGCTGTAAAGTAATAATAAATAGTCAGTCATTATATCAATAAAGTCAGTATGAAGAGTCTGGTCATTGAGTCGAGCCACAAGAAAATGGCACCAAATTTTGAAAATTATTCAGAAAAAATAACTAAAACTACGATGTTTGAATTCACCGCTCGTCTTCTAGTGATACGATTCATTGACTAAACTTAAGTGGATTCTTGTACTGTTTTTATGGCAACAGTTCCATCAGGGACCGTTAAGGTATTTATTATTATCAATTTATATTTTGGGGCTCCTTACTCAAAAGAAACATTATTTCTATCAGTCTGCTATAAGTTCATCTGTGTGTCTGTCCGTCTGTGTATCTGTCTGTCCCTTTAACTTATTCAAATATATATATATACAGTATGTAAGAGACAACTTTCGGTGAACTTAAGTCATGGGCTCAGAGCATCATCCTGACCAATAATCACGGAGAAATATTCTCAGAAATGAAAAAATTTTTCGACTTCATATAAAATTATCAAAAATGTAAGAGATGTTTGTCTTGCACATTTTTCCGAAAAAAAAATTCTTCATTATTGTTGCTCAGTATGATTGTCTGAGCTCACGGTTAAGTTTTCGGAGAAGTGTCCCTTACACCCTGTATTCTTTTAATCTTCTTTCAGATAAACGAAGACAGTGCGTCCCAAGAAAAAGGTGAGGGAAAAAATTACAAAAATGAGAACAGCCCTCATTTGTCTTTAGAAATAGAAGAGATTTCGCAAAATATACAAGGAGGAAGTAGAACTTGTCCAAGAGAAAATAAGTCTTCGCTGAATGTACAAGAAGGAAACAGAACTCGTCCAAGAGAAAATAAATCTTCTCAAGATTGTTGTAGAAAAGACAAAGGAGAGATAATTTGCCTCCAGAAATCAAAACATCATGACGTCTAATGGACGAAGCTTTTGAATACATAAATGAGAAGAAAGATGATGAATATGAGATGTTAGGAATACTGATCGCAAGTAAACTAAAAAAAATTACAAATCCAAACATGCGTGATATTTTAATGAACGATATTCACAGTTTAGTATTTCGCACATGTATGGCAAATCGACTTGAAGAACAGTCTGTAGTTCCTCAATTTCTCACATCCCATACTCCACACCATCAAGTATTCAGTCCATCACCAACTCATGTAGACGGAGTTGGTGATGTCAAGTCGACAGGATGACAAGTCACCTCAAAGCTAATCCACATCCCATTCACTATACCATCAATTATTCAGTCCATCAGCAAATCCGTCCACACACCAGTCACCTCCAGGCCAATCCACATAACATTCCCCATACCATCAAGTATTCGGTCCATCACCATATCCGTCTACACACCAATCACTTCCAGGCCAATCCACATCCCAGTCTCCTCACCAGCAAGTATTCAGCTCATCACCAAATGCGTCCACATACCAGTCACTTCCAGGTCTTTCCACATCTTAGACTCTACACCATCAAGTATTCAGTCCATCACCAAATCCATCCACTTATCAGTAAGAAGCCAATACCAGTCACTTCCAGGTCCTTCCACATCTCAGACTCCACACCATCAAGTATTCATTCCATCACAAAATCCGTCCACATACCAGTCACTTCCATACGATGAAATAAACAGTATATCATCACCTCTGGATCACTTCCCAGTTCAATCTTCCCAAGAAAATTGTCTAGAATTATCACCAGCACGTGCCTCACAAGTAGTGCCTCTCAAGTAGTGCCAAAAAGTAATAACAGATACCAGTAAAAATTATTTTCGTTAATACCTTCAAAAATAAATAAATGAAAGACATAAATACAGAGTTTTTTGTTTTATTTTCCTAAGTTCAATATGTTGTTTCAATTTAATTGAATAGTTAGGTACTTAGATTTATGTCAGACGGCACACTAGCGCCGCCAATAGAAATAAATGGTTTTAGTAATATTTAAGACAGTTAATTTGTTGTTTGTTTGACGAGTAATTACAACGAAATTACATTAAAATATTTTAAAAATGTAATTAAACTCTTACTGTTTAATTTATATCACTTATTTCTATTGGCAGCGCTACTCTGCCATCTGAGCGTCCTATCTTACGACTAATTCATGTCCCTGAAATTTTCTGCGAATTTATTTTGAACCTCGATTGCTGTTAATGCTGAACGTCGTGCAATGATCCTCCTTGACCTGAAAGTGCCTCTTCTTCAATGTCTTGTCTCCATGTTCCTGGGTTTATTAATTCTCCGTTAAAAATGTGTCAATGTAACCTGATGGGGTGTAAAATTACCGAGAGTTACAACTTTTTCTTGAAAAGTTGTGTAGTAGTATGGCATATTCCATTACAACTTTTGAAGCTTCGTTTGGTTGTAGTTATAGGTTTTATAAGTACTAGAAACCGGACTGACATAACATCAAATGTATTCTCCACAGCAATACGAACAGAAGAAAGTTTACGATTAAAGTTTCTTTGCAAACTTCCTTACAGTACTTGTACACCAAAACCGATTTTAACGGCCGATGACGGACGGAACTAGCCGGACGACTAACTCGGACGTGTATGTGCTACAGTGCCGACATTGGACGTTGCCGGTATTCTGTAGTTGACTCTGTTGCTTAACAGACGCGTTTTTAAAATGGAAGAATTTGAAGAAATGTATCTTTTTGAAAATTCATACCGCAATTTAATTCGTCGACGTCATCGTCAGCGACATCGGCGTGTGTGGATTAATGAAATATTTATGTGCAGAAAACAGGGTTCAATAAATTATAATTTTTCCATTAATTTTATTTTAAACCCTACTGTAATAAAAAAAACGTGTGAAATTGAAATAAAAATCCATAGTGTAGTAGACCTATTGGTTTTATTTTAATTAATAAGTATTATTTAGAAGTAATAAATAGAAAAAATTATTGTAAATTCGAGTCCAAATCTGCATTAGTAATCGTGTACAGATGTTGAACGCATGAACTATATACATACCTAAACACTGCCAAGTTTTAACAGTCCGACAATTATTCATTTATCTTACTCTTTTAAAACAACACGTGTTACTAAATTTTAGTGAGACAAAGTGTGCCATACTGTTTACCTTCGAATATTCCTATGCACATAAATATTTTTGTTTTCTTGGTCCATTCTTGTACAATAAAATAAATAAGCAACTAAACTTATACTTTTTAAATAAGAATCAATGTAAGAAAAACCTACTCAAATGGCTTCAAAAACTAGATATTTTTATAGGATAGGGTGACAAACGAGCGCATAGTCCACTTCTATACACTCACCATACGAAACACAACAGCATTAAGCTACTATCTTACGCAGGTATTCTGGGAGAGCGCGGTCCTTCCCCGGTTGAGCCCACCCATTCATGCTACAACCATAATAGCTGCAGCGTGGATCTACCACGTAAATGATGAAACAGAAGAATTATTGAAATCCCTAAATAACTGAATTACTTTTATAATGTATAATTAATACACTATTAAATTATATCTTCTTATTATAATTATTACTTTAATGAATAGGTACCTACTACTCGACCTCTCCGTCGCAAACACACAAAACACATACACACATACGAAAGGAACAATTTACACTCAACACTTAAAAACTAACTTATATATTTAGGTTTAATTTTAATACTTTAAAATAATACTGTTTGATATATGTTTACGTAAGTTTCTTAACCATTAAGATTTCTGTTAAAATGTCCCATAAGAAAGAGCACTATTGCCGGAAATACAAGCTTGTAAATTTTTTTTCCTGAATAAAGAAATTATTATTAATATTATGTTGATGATTGTGAAGGAGTCGTTTGATTCGTGGTCAGTGGCAAATGACCCTTCGCGGATGCGGATGTTTGTGAAGACGTCATTTGATTAATGATCAGTGGCAAAGGCTCTTCAATACTGACAACGCAGTAAATGACATATTTGATGACAAGTCTCCAGAATCGGGCGACTTAATTCTTCGGAGTAACGGCTTACAGGATAATACTGAATTTGGGTATTTTCTTCTTCCATGAACACGTCTAACAATTTTCGTTGAACAAAGATTTTTCTATTTCGTGGCACTTCTTTTAAGTATGGAAGTAAACTCAACAAAAAGTTACGATCAGGATCATCTGCAGATTTATCTGCTGACCCGGACTAATATCATTGAAGTTTTCTTTTTTCGATCTCTAAATACTCTTGGTCCACATCAATATTTCTCTTTTTCATAGGTCTTCCAGGTTGATTGGATGTAAAACGATGAGCTTGCGTTATAGGTACACGAATAGGTTTGGTATGTGGTCTAGTATGTTGTGACGTAAAGAATACTGCTTGGTTCGAATTCGAAGCTCCTAGCTGCTACAAAGATGAAGGTCCAGGCTGCAAAGGCGCGGGTGTGGGCTGCGACAAAGGTGAGAGTCCAGGCTGCGGTACTGTTTGTGGCTGTGATTCAGGTGAATACTTAGAAAAATAGGAGGACTCCGCATTATCTTCAGTTTCTTGGCTGGGAGGTTCCGGCACATTTCCGGTTAAAGTTTTCGGTGTGATTTGTTTCGACAAGAATAATAACGATTCGTAATATATCCACGAAGTTAATTTGTGATCCGCCGCAGCACCGGATCTACCTGGTTCATTGCATTTGTTATATTCTTTACGGAATTGGTCCCTTAAGATGGTCCATTTTTTTTAAATGTCTGGAATCGCTATATCCATTTCCGATCCAACTTCAGTCCATAACCGTTTCCAAATATCTCGATTATTATAATTTTTTGAATGTTTATCCCACAGGGTTGGTCTATTAAAAATACAACTAATTAATTTTTCAATATCCATAGTGGTTTAGGTGTATAAGAACGCTGACAGAAACAACAGAATAAATTCAGAATTATTAAATTAAACTATAAATACACTTAATTTTCTCTGTAGAAAAAAGCGAGAAATCCCAACAAGTTTGGATCGGCCGTTGATCGGCCGTTTTCGTGTGTCATCGGACAATGGCGGTCGTGTTTATGTGCGAATTAAGTTGACGACAACGACTTTATTTAAAAAATAATTTATTTATACAAAGTAACAGCGTTAAAGCTTGTAATTACTTCCAAAACTAAGCTGTCTTACAGTTAACTTAGCCTAGTATTTATATTAAAATATCTCTTACTAAGCAACCCGTGCTATGACGCACGCCCTAATTCTTATGAGTGCTTGTGAAGCAGATATTAGAGGGGTCATCACACTTATTCTCTCCCTCCCCAAGAGAAAAATTATCCGAAGGAGATGAAGTTAACTTCGGAGAATTTTGTCTCTGACTTAAGCTATGAAATTTCCATTTAAGTACAATAACAATTATAATTAACAGTGCCACAAAATAAATACTTAAAGACCATATACTTATTTTATTCGTCACAAGGGTTTCCACCGCCATTTCACTATTACCATTTCTAGCACTATTAACAATTTCTTTTACGTCACTGAAATCCACGTTTGTTAAGTCCAACTTCTTTTCTTCTTCCGTCACGTCGTACTGCACCTCCGGAATCTTTACAAGTGGTATCTATAGACTGGCTTCCGACATGTTGCTCGATAGGCCAATGGTTATTTTTCCCATTTGTATGCTGCAACCTATGCTCGGCGTCAAAATGTATGTTCCTTGTAGATTAAATCTGTGGGTATCATCTTTGCACTGCTCCGTCAGTATAACATCGTCTTCTGCATAGAGTATCCAGTGGTTATAAAATATATAAAAGTTATTTTCTGTATTTTCAACTTCACTATTTTTATTTGATGTTGATGGCAATTACTGAACTTATTTTTAATTAGCATTATTTCCTCGATACATGTTTCTTCATCAACTGGTGCCATATTTTCCTCCGAACATAAGTGTTTGTTTGGTTCGATTTGGGTATACGGGCTTACTAAGTTTCTGTATTTCA